TGCTTCTCGCAATGAGGGAACTGCCAGAAGGCCCTCGGTGCTGGACCTCAGTGTCCAGGCACAACGATGGGGGTGGAGATGCTTCTTCAGATATACAGGACCGAGGCCATTTAGGCTTTCTCCCTTCTGTTCATGGGTTTAAAAAAACAAAACAAAAAGGAGAAATTTTTATTTTATTTTGTTTTATTGACAGGAGCCACACCTGGGAGGCAGTGGGTCTCCTACATCAAGCTTCAGCACTTTCTCTGTGGCAACTTTGCATTGATAAACGTTGCCATAGTGATCAGCGAAGAGATGGCCAGCAAGCTTTGAAGCCACGGGTGAGCAGCGAGGCTCTTCAGAAAAGAAAAGAATAAAAACATCTTCCACAGCCACACTTTCTTTCCTGTCCTTCAGTGGCAAGGGGGAAAACAAGCAAGGGGTTGTTGGGCTGTGTGGAAGAAAACTGGGTGCCAGTTTGAAAAGAGATTTTAATTTTTTTTGCTTCAGGGGACGTGTGATGCATGGGCAATCCCACTCCCAAATACTTGCCTACATTTGGAGGAGGGAAATAGGCAAATGGAATGGCTGATGGGTGTTGTAGTTCAGCAACAACTCTAAAGGGCCAAAGGTGCCCCACCTAATTTAGACCCTAAAACTTTTTTGGGGGGTAGAAACAGGGACGGAGGAACGGGGTGGTCCGACCCGGGTGTCACCACTGAGGGGGGTGACAAAATGACAGGCGGCACTCACTGCAGGGCCTGTAGCGTGCCCAAGCCATGCGTCTCTACTGGGAGAGAATTGTGCTGGGCCCGGGGGTAACCCGAGCAATGCGGTCCAGGTCCAGTCCTGAATCCAAGGGTTCCCCGAGGAGTCAGTCTGACAGGGCCAAGGCAGGACACGAGGGCCAGGCAAGGTCAGGCACAGGATCACAGGCAGGTTCTGGCAAACAACAGCGTTGCTCCCGCAACCTGGGGCAGGGTCCAGCAGCCTTTTATCTCTGTCGGGGTAATGGCCGATCCTGATCCCCCGGTGACTCACCTCCCTGTCTCGCCAGAAGGCGAGCCCTCCTCCTGCGAGTACTCAGGTCTCTCCTTCTCTCAGACCTGAGTCTTTGCAGCTCGGGAGATGCCGGTGGGTGACTAGACCCAGAGGGCGCCTCAACCTCCCCTGACCCAACTGGTAGTGGAGCAGCTGTAAGTGATGGCCCAGCTGAAGGCAACGAGGTCATCCCCACATCTGGAGCCAAAGCAGGCTCAAGCCCCTGACTTGGCCCAGCTGGTGCTTGTTGCAGGGAAACCTGTGCAGACTGGGGCTCTTCAGAATCAGGCCCCAGACTAGGTTCAGCTGCTGCCTGAGGCAAAGGATCTGGTGTGGACTGAGACTTCTCTGGCTCTGAGTCCGAGCCCGAGTCTCAGGCCATCACAGACGTGGTGGCTTGGGTGTCCGCAGGCTTCGCGCTGCCCAAACAGTCCGTCCGCTGCCTGCCCCCCAGCTGTAGGGCGGCTGAGTGGGAGGAGGCAGGCAGACTCCTCAGAGGCCCCACGGTATGTCCTTCCCGGCTCGCCCCACCCCTGTGGGCGGCTGGCCCCACCCCTGGGCGCAGGGCATGCGCGCTGCCCCAGTCGCCCAATCAGCTTGCTCCACCGCTGGGCAAAAATGGCCTGCGGGGCATGGACTAGCCACCCCTGATTCCAGTTCTGCATGCACACAGTGCTAAGTGACCATTCAGTAGACCATTCAGTAGACCCTCCAGATGTTTTGGGACTACAATTCCCATCATCCCTGACCACTGGTCCTGCTAGCTAGGGATCATGGGAGTTGTAGGCCAAAAACATGTGGAGGGCCAAGGTTGAGGAAGCCTGCTGTAGACTGTCATCCGTATCAGACCTATGCCAAGGGCCAAGGATTGATCAAGGCCCCAGATCCCACTTTTTTAAAAAAAAAAAAATCCCAACAACTTGGAATTCCACTAATCATCAGCATGAGGCCATCATTTTGATTTTCTATCGCGCCGCTAAATATTTGATGTAAAAAAAAGGATAAGAAAATTCACAGGAACAAATTCATTCCAGCCCTGCTGAGAGTCCTTAGCGTTTGCTGACAACAGGATGCAATTTTCTAGTGCTTTTGCAGAAGGAGGTTGAGAAATTGCAGAACAGCATTTTTCCACCTTCCCAAAGCTGTGCATTGCAAAAAAAAAAAAAAAGAACATCCTGCTCATTTAAATGGATGCATGGACGTGAGCCTGCAAATGGGTAAACAAATATAGGAGCAAAGCCAATGAATAATAAATGGGAGATTCATATTATATCAGAGCATTACGCCCTTGGGGAAATCTCTCCCAGGGTCTGTTTGCTTGACCCTTGGTGGTGGTGGGGGTGTTGTCACATGGTGCTAAGATTGCCAGAATTTTAACTCAAGAAATCCAGCATTTCTAGGCATGTGCGATGTACTGGTCAAAGTGCTGGACAAGGATTGGGGAGACTTGGGTTCAAATCCTACCGCAGTCATGAAGCTCACTGGGTGACCTTGGGACTAGACTGTCTTTGAACCTATCCCACCTTGCAGGGTTGTTGTGGACAAAATAGGGGAGTAGAGAATGATGAACTCCTTGGTTGAATTATAATAATCGAAGTTCCTTTGCCTTGCTTTTCAACATCTACATGCAGCCGCTGGGAGAGATCATCAGGGGGTTTGGGCTGGGAGTCCATCAATATGCAGATGATACCGAGCTCTACCTCTCTTTCAAATCAGAACCAGTGAAGGCGGTGAAGGTCCTGTATGAGTGTCTGGAGGCAGTTGGTTGGAGGATGGACGGTGGCTAACAGATTGAGGTTGAATCTTGACAAGACAGAAGTACTGTTTTGGGGGGACAAGAGGCAGGCAGGTGTGGAGGACTCCCTGGTCCTGAATGGGGTAACTGTGCCCCTGAAGGAGCAGGTATGCAGCCTGGGAGTCATTTTGGACTCACAGCTGTCCATGGAGGCACAGGTTAAATCCGTGTCCAGGGCAGCTGTGTACCAGCTCCATCTGGTACGCAGGCTGAGACCCTATCTACCCATGGACTGTCTCGCCAGAGTGGTGCATACTCTGGTTATCTCCCGCTTGTACTACTGCAATGCACTCTATGTGGGGCTACCTTTGAAGGTGACCCGGAAACTACAACTAATCCAGAATGCCGCAGCTAGACTGGTGACTGGGAGCGGCCGCCGAAACCACATAACACCGGTCTTCAAAGACCTACAGTGGCTCCCAGTATGTTTCCGAGCACAATTCAAAGTGTTGGTGCTGACCTTTGAAGCCCTAATGGCCTCGGTCCAGTATACCTGAAGGAGCATCTCCACCCCCATCATTCTACCCAGACACTGAGGTCCAGCTCCGAGGGAACCAGGTAGAGGGTCTTCTCGGTAGTGGCACCCACCCTGTGGAACGCCCTCCCACCAGATGTCAAAGAGAAGAACAACTACCAGACTTTTAGAAGACATCTGAAGGCAGCCCTGTTTAGGGAAGCTTTTAATGTTTGATGTATTACGGTATTTTAATATTTTGTTGGAAGTCTCCCAGAGTGGCTGGGAAAGCCCAGCCAGATGGGCGTGGTATAAATAAATTATTATTATTATTATTATTATTATTATTATTATTATTATCATTATCATCATCATCATCATCATCATCATCATCATCATTATTATTTGTGGCATACTGCCTTTTTAGGTAGGTACGTTTTTGAACACAGAAAAGGATCCTTTTGTGCATACAGTGGTACCTCGGGTTAAGCACTTAATTCGTTTCTATTCTTAACCTGAAACTGTTCTTAACCTGAAGCACCACTTTAGCTAATGGGGCCTCCTGCTGCCGCTGCACGATTTCTGTTCTCATCCTGAAGCCAAGTTCTTAACCCGAGGTAATATTTCTGGGTTAGTGGAGTCTGTAACCTAAAGCATATGTAACCTGAAGCGTATGTAACCCAAGGTACCACTGTATTTGCAAACTGTGCTAAAAATGGACCCACCCCATTTGATAGCAAACAACAAGAGCAACAACCTTCCTTACTTTCATTTTGGGCTTCTAAAGCAGTCTTTCCAATCTCAGATCCTTAGGAGTTAGGAACTTAGGAAGGTGTCTTATATACCAACTCAGACCACTGGTTCATTTGAGCAGTGACTTTCCGGGGTCTAAGGCAGGAGATGTTCCCTACCAAAGGTTGAACCTGAGACCTTCTGCATGCCAAGCAGACCTCCTGAGCATCTTCCCCCAAGGGCTGAGATCAAAACCTGTCACTAGCTGTGGAAGAGAGCCCACCTTTCGATTGCTTTTCTTTCGCGTTTTCAAAAAGAGGATGCAGAACACCAGACAAAAGGAGAGAGGGAGGGAGAACCCACCCATTTCATCAACGAGAACTGCAAAGGGTGTGGAACGTGAACCTTTTCAGTAAGGCTTTCGAAGATAAATAAGAGACAGGGGTGGGGAGCTGAGACTGCAATCATATGAAAATCACAGGCTCTGAGGGAAGAAATTTGATCCAGTTCTCATCCAAAGGCGAACCTACAAAATTTGCACTTTTTGAAATAATATTCGGAGTCCTCTTCTCAAATTCACATTTGTGCGAATTTTGCTGGGCAAGTAACAGGCATGAATGTGCATACACTGGGATGAAGCATGCATAGAAAGGCACATTTAGGTGAAAACAGCATATGAAAATGCATTAAATTGGGGAAAATTGCTTTCCAAAAAAAATGTAAATAAGGGTGGGGGGGAATGCACACAGAAATGTTCACAGGCGGAGAAATTTGCACTAAAATACAGGTGAATGTTCATGAGGACTAGTAGATTTTTCTCCTTACGTGCAAATTCATGGGGAAATGTGGAGTACTGGATTCAAGATAGGAAGAATAAGAAAAACAGAGAGAGACAGGAATGGGCAGATCTGCCCAGCCCTCATTCCCTCCAGCCACAGAAACCACAGGACCCATCACATTCATCTAGGTGCAACATGGGTTCGAACAAAATCTCACCACCTTTTCTGCTCACTGCTGCCGTATTTGTTGACACTGCTTCATTCAAAGCGCTGGTCCCCATTCCACATCTCCCCACACCTGGAAGGCAGCTCAGCTGCTCTTACTTGAAACCTCGCGTCCTATTGTCCTTCTATCGTTGACACCACGCTTCCATGAGGTCCCTCAATATCCAATGTGTCATTATCCAGATTTCGTCCTGGACCTGCACCACTCATGACTTCTGGGCAGGGTGTGTGTGAGAGAGAGCGGTCAGAAGGAGTGCTGTTGTGGGGCTGCTCTCACAGCCAGCAAGCAACAGGCTCAGAAATAAAGCCTGCCTTCCCTTATCAGAAGATAAGCAAAGAGACATCTATCCTAATTCCTCTAAGCAGGTTTTAGGGGACGAAGGGGCGTGTTCCTTTCTGCGGAACCGGCTGCCGACGCTGCACTCTTGCAGTCGCAACCTTTGTGGTTTTTAGAAATATATGCACATATATAGGATGAAATTGCCCGGGGGAACAAGATGCGTAAATGTCAAAGTCTCCACCTGGTGGTAAGAGCACTGGGGTAAGCGTGGGTGCAAGGATTTACACACCATTGATAAGGTACCGGTAACATCTTCAGGAAACGATCATTCCCTGCCTCCTTTCAGGTGGTGGGTGGGATGGAAGGTGGCAGAGAAGCTGGAGAGTTAAAAAATATATTAAACTTACCAGAATTTGCATGGCGTCAGGGGCACCCCCCATTAATATTCCAGTGGTGAGACTTCAACGCTTTGCTCTGCCTCTCTCGCTCGGCTTTCTAACTTGTATATCTTCAGCTGTGCTGCTGCTGATGTTGCTTCCAGTCCTCCTCTAAACCTCCAAGTCACTGGCTGTGTCCCTCTTGGCTTTGAAAAATGTGTGTGCATCTTTTTTTCAAAGGGACTTCTCTCCCACCGTGTGTGTGTGTGTGGTTGCGTCAAGGCCGTTGCCTAGCTACCGCCGTACTATTCCAGTTTGAGGCTTTTCACGCCAGTATTTCTGTCCGCCGTCTCTCATTCATGCCAGCCAGCCTGGGGTTCTTCCTCCCACTAAGACATGACCCTGAAGAGACCCAAAAGAGAAAAGAATGCCTCTCTTTTTTTCTTTTTCTTTTTAAGCAAGTGAGGCTGGGTCCTAAGACCTGTCAGGTTTCATTCAAGATTCCTTGCAAGGGGAGTTCCAGGTGCCTAGACAAAAATCAAAGTCATAGTGTTGGAAAGGGACACCCAAGGGTTCTCTAGTCCAACCCCCTGCAATGCAGGGATCACAGCTAAAGAATCCCTGGCAGGTTTAATAATAATAATAATAATAATAAATTTTATTTATATCCCGCCCTCCCCAGCCGAAGCTGGGCTCAGGGCGGCTAACAACAATCAAAATAATCCGACATTCTAAAACATTCATTATAAAATTAATTAAATCAAATTAAATTAAAATCAAATTAATGGCAACCATCAAGCCAAATTCTGTGCAGATTGCCGATTGCCAGAGGAGGGGGTCAGGCTGCGCCCTGACAAAAGGCCTGGTGGAACAGCTCTGTCTTGCAGGCCCTGCGGAAGGATGTCAGGTCCTGCAGGGCCCTAGTCTCTTTTGACAGAGTGTTCCACCAGATTGGAGCCGCGACCGAGAAGGCCCTGGCTCTAGTTGAGGCCAGCCTAACCTCTTTGTGGCCTGGGATCTTTAGGATGTTTTTATTTGCAGACCGTAGATTTCTCTGTGGGACATACCAGGAGAGGCGGTCCCGTAGGTACGAGGGTCCTAGGCCGTATAGGGCTTTAAAGGTTAAAACCAGCACCTTAAACCTGATCCTGTACTCCACCGGGAGCCAGTGCAGCTGGTATAATACCGGATGGATATGATCTCGCAGCGAAGACCCCATAAGGAGTCTCGCCGCGGCATTCTGCACCCGCTGGAGTTTCTGGGTCAGTCTCAAGGGCAGCCCCACGTAGAGTGAGTTACAATAATCCAGTCTGGAGGTGACCATCGCGTGGATCACAGTGGCTAGGTCAGGGCGAGAGAGATAAGGAGCCAACTGCTTAGCTTGGCGGAGATGAAAAAATGCCGCCTTTGTTATAGCTGTAATCTGCGCCTCCATAGAGAGGGAGGTATCGAAGATTACACCCAAACTCTTAACGGATGATGTTGGCACTAATTGCACGCCCGCAAGAGATGGGAGTTGCCCCCTCAATCCCATATCGCTCCGTCCCAGCCAAAGGACCTCTGTCTTCGAAGGATTTAACTTCAACCGGCTCCCACGTAACCATCCAGCCACAGCTTCCAGACATCTGGTCAGTGTATCTGGGGCCGAGTCAGGGTGGCCGTCCATCAACAGATAGAGTTGGGTGTCATCGGCATACTGATGGCAGCCCAGCCCAAAACTCCGGACAAGCTGGGCGAGGGGGCGCATAAAGATGTTAAAAAGCATCGGGGAGAGAATTGCACCCTGAGGCACTCCACACACCAAGGAGTGGCGCGATGACAATTCCCCCCCAAGCGCCACCCTCTGTCCCCGACCAGAGAGAAACGAGCGCAGCCATTGAAGGACTGTGCCCTGGATCCCCACGTCGGCAAGGCGGTGGTCCAGGAGTTCGTGATCGACCATGTCGAAGGCTGCTGACAGGTCTAGAAGAATCAGCAGCCCCGACCCGCCTCGATCCAGCTGCCTACGGAGATCATCTGTTAGGGCGACCAGAGCCGTCTCGGTCCCATTACCAGCGCGGAAGCCGGACTGGAATGGATCGAGAGCCGATGTTTCATCCAGAAACCTACCAACCTGTTCAGCAACCGCTCTCTCAATCACCTTACCCAGGAATGGAAGATTTGAAACCGGGCGGTAATTGGATAGATCTAGAGCAGTGTTTCCCAACCTTGGGCCTCCAGATGTTTTTGGCCTACAACTCCCATCATCCCTGACTAGCAAGACCAGTGGCAAGGGATGATGGGAATTGTAGGCCAAAAACAGCTGGAGGCACAAGGTTGGGAAACACTGATCTAGAGGATCTAATGATGTTTTCTTTAAGAGTGGATGCACCACTGCCTCCTTCAGTTCCCCTGGGAATATCCCGGTGCCAAGGGACAAATTGATGATATCACCCAGGGGGGCCCGCACCTCGTCTGGACACGCTCTAATCAGCCAAGACGGGCACGGGTCCAGAGGACAGGTGGTGGGCTTTCCAGCTTGGAGGAGTCTGTCCACATCGGCTGGGGATATCCGGTCGAAGTGGTCCAATACTGGACCCGAGGACAGTCGAGGGGCCTCCAGTTCCTTTATTGTATCCAAATTGGCAGGGAGGTCATGGCGGAGCAACAGGACCTTCTCCGCAAAAAAGCTCGCAAATGCCTCACAGCTGTGTGTCGAATTGTTATTTAAATTTGGCTGTCCTTCAAGGAACGTTAAAGACCTAATTATACTAAATAATTGCGCCGGGCGAGAGCTAGCGGAGGCAATGAAGGCCGAGAAGTAAGACTTCTTAGCGGCCTTCACTGCCATCTCGTAGGTTTTCATAAAAACCCTATAAGATGTTCTTGAGGCTCCGTCACGGGCACCCCGCCATTCTCGCTCTAGCCGTCTGAGGTCCCGCTTCATTTTCCGAAGCTCCTCGGTAAACCAGGGAGCCCGGTTTCTGCGGGGTCGCAGAGGGCGCCTAGGTGCGATCTCATCGATGGCTGCTAGGAGCTGGGTATTCCAGCCCTCAACAAGCTCAGTCAATGAGTCGCCAGGGGGAGCAAGGTCCCGCAAGGCCTGACGGAATCTATCAGGGTCCATCAGCCTCTGCGGGTGAGCCCAAATTGGCTCACCACCTAAGCAGGGTGGGGGTGGAAAATCAATCCTGGCTTTCAGTGCTTAGTGATCAGACCATGGCACCTTCATTGCAGGAGACATGATCACATCTATACCGGCGCCAAAGATCAAATCCAGCGTGTGGCCTGCTTGATGTGTGGGGCCCGACACAAACTGGGAGAGCCCTAGTGTCGCCATGGAAGACACCAGGTCCAGTGCCTGTGAGGAGGGAATGGCATCAGCATGGATGTTGAAGTCCCCCAATACCAATAGGTTAGGGAACTCCAAGGCCCAGCCGGCCACCGCCTCCAATAGGCCTGACAGGGTGGCTGCTGGTGCGCTAGGTGGCCGGTACACCAGCCAGACAGCCAAGCTCACCTCGGAGCCCCACACTAGGCCAACACATTCAATGCCGGGGATCGATGGCGATGGTAGAGCCCTGAAAGAACAGTCTTCTCGGATTAATAATGCCACCCCTCCCCCCCGGCCCACAGTCCGCGACTGGTGGAGGACAGAGAAACCCGGGGGCGCCATCTCTCGTAAGGTAACAGTATCCCCTTCGCGCACCCAGGTCTCCGTCACACAAGCCAGGTCGGCCCGCTGCGAGATGAAGAAATCTCGCAGGGTGGCGGTTTTGTTGCCTATAGACCTGGCATTGCACAACACTAGTGACGGAGGTGAGTAATCCTTGCTCACCCTACCTTCGTCCCTCGGGATGGGGCGCAGATTGGAAGGGGTACGAGCATATCCGTATCTCGATCCCCTTCGCCTATGACATCTGCCCCCACCGCTATACCTCCCTCGCCCCACTACGGTAGCAATCCCAAGCCTCAAACCAACCTCCATTTACAAAATAGAAAATGAAACAGACCAAAAACAATTGTACCAACAAAACAAATCCCCACCCCACTCAATATACAACCCCAAACCAAAATACAACGGAACAAATAAAAATACATCAATAAAAATACATCAATAAAAACCACCGTTCACGGTGGTACGACAAAGTAAAAAGTAAATCCCCCTATAAAACATTTAGAGCAGAAGGCTTTGGGGTTGGAATGTATCAAGAAATCTGACAATGATTCTCATGCTCTGAATTGTAGGGTAACTTCTCCCTGGAAATATCTCCCATGTGAATATTCATTTTGTTGATGTTTGCTGCTCCACCAAGGGTTTCTGGTCCAGTGTTCGAGTCTGGCTAAACATCCGGCAGAAAACATCTCTACTCTTTACACACACACAGTCCTCGCAAGGAGAATGTCAAGCATTTTTTTAAACCCCCCCCCACAAAAAATCTCAGAGACACACACACTTCTTTTTTTAAAAAAATAATTCTTTATTGGTTTAAAATACAGGCATACAAGCATACAACGAAGGTAAGTATAGCAAAGTTAAATACAAAAAGGAAATATCTTCACAACATAATAGCAGGAAAGGATTTGAAAAAAGAAAAAGAAAAAGGGGGGGGGAGAGAAGGGAAAAAATGCCGAAATTTTGTACAGCATTATGTCCGTCAAATATAATTTTCTGCATAAAACCTCCAATCGTTCTTGTTATACTTTTTGTATTGTCATGATTTTATCGCACAGTTTTATTT